TGAATTGAGGATACCTAAAGGTTTAAAATCTACGGCAGTTCTGGCAGAAAGTGCAGGACCTTTACAGAAAGATGTTGATGCGTCTGAGGCTTGTCTGCCATCTGTTGTTGATTCAAGCAAATCAGTGATGTGTGCATGTGGACGGAAAATAACACTGCCCGATGGCGACAAGATAGAGGACTATTCCATGATATTCATCGGGGATCCAAGCTGTGCCACACTGATAAATTTAATGATGACTTTCAACAAGTGCCAATTTTATACGTATAATCCCTCTACACTGTGCTGTCAGAGAGAGACTTTGCAAGTCAATAAAGCTCTTATGAAGCGGTACTATTTGATAGAAAGAGTGAAGGATGCTAGCATAGTTGGTATTGTGGCGGGGACTTTAGGAATTGCGAAATACAAAGAGGTTATGGACCATGTGAAATCGTTGTTTAAGGCCGCAGGGAAGAAGAGCTACACCTTTGTGGTGGGAAAACTGAACCCAGCCAAACTGGCGAACTTTGCTGAAGTTGATGTTTATGTCCTCGTGGCATGTCCTGAAAGCAGTTTATTGGACTTGTCGGATTTTTACAGACCCGTGGTGACTCCTTTGGAAGTGGAGTTTGCATTGAACAAAGCGCGGGAATGGACTGGAGCGTACAGTTCCGATTTTCAGGAACTACTGCCCGGTAAGTACAATATTCTTAGGGAAAGGTGGAAAGTGTTTGGTCGTGGCCTATATCCTGATCCAGGGTGAGAAAGGTAATGATGATGAAGTGCCATATTCTACACTCGTTACCTATGAAGAGAATGTAGATTAATAATGACGAGAGAGATGAATTTCATTCAATCATACTTATGAGCACCACAGTTCGGTATGGAAGGGCAAAAGAAACAAAATATTTGGAAGAAAATCCCAAATGGTATTGTGGAGTATTTTCAAACAGAATAAGTGCTTTATGATGACTGATTGATTTCATTACCCCTATACTGATTGTGACCTAAGTGCAGACAGTCAAGCTTGTATTGGAGACAGTTTGTTCTTTGGTCATTTGTGAGGGATTGTGATGAAATCAGGCGCTCGTCAAAATAAGGAAATCAAAGAAACAGACATTTTTCCACCAGTTTAGCAATTTTTTTAAAAAATGGGTTGTTTTTTTTGGCTCCACACCTTTTATGTCCATAAATAAACACATTTCCATGTAAATTTAACAAAAAATGTCACTTAATGGCAAAAAATATGTACATTTTCAGTTTTCAAGGACTCTCAAGCTCTACAAGTTACCAAACTTTGGTGGCCATTTTCTCGCTAATTTTATCTCTAAAACCGTGCTACCCCCACCTCCTTCTATCGCAAATATTTTTATATCTCTTTAAGATAGCTGGGTGGTCTTTTCATAGAAAGCAAGGCAAGTGAATAAGCTTTCAGATAATACCAATAACTCCACATGCCCAAAAATTGACAAGCGCTTTATTCCACCACGTCGTGATACATTTGGTATGGGCCGATCTCATCATCTCTTATATTGTCAAATTAAGTAATGTTTCACCATCATCTATGGTGTCATAGTAAAGTTCGCAGGCAGAAAACATGAATTCGACGACTTCACATTTATTAAAGTTATTATTGAATATCTCTGTCTGTCTGCTGGGATGATATATCCCATTCAGCTCAGATTGGACCTTAAAGACAAATTTAAAGTGGCTTGCCCCCTAAAAAGTTCAAAATTGTGTTGGCGACACTTTTACGAAAAGTGTTTCTCACTGTGACTACGGTTATTGTAATTCTTCTTTATCTAGGAGGATCTTTGTACGTTGAAGCGGGCGAATCATTTGATGAGGACGGTACAGCTGATGTGTCCCTCATCAGTAACAAAGTCAGATACCTAGGTGTCCGAACTGCGCCAGAAGTTTCAAGTGTTCCCAGTAAGGAGATGGTTCTCCGCTCTGATGCGCTGGCGGTGTCATCGGTGGCAGAGAATGCTGGTGAGTTTTTACGTTTGCCTCTTTCCTCTACATTCATTTAGGTAGGTGGTTGGCGGGTGCTCTGGTGTGGTCTGCTCCTTCTTTCCTATCTAACATCTATTGTCCTTATCTCTCCTCCTGCTTTTTTGTGTTTGTTACTCTCTTGTAACACCTCTAATCTTCGGCACTTATATGACTTTATTGTGTTGCAAGTGCCGTAAAACTAGTACTGAAACTAAAACATTTATTTGGATAGTCAGTTTAGAGCCTGATGTCTCTGTACACTACACCATACATTTTTCCATTTATATATGGTCGCTTTTATTTTTAAACACAAGGGGGCTATCCCGAAAAATGCTGTTTTGAGAAAATCAAAGGTATAGTTTTTGCCCCTTGTTCAGTTTCTTTAAAAGACAAGGAAAGTTTCCTCTATAACCAAACAAATGTACACACCAATGAAACCAAACTTCTCCTATAGGTAGGGAAATGCCCACTTTTGGTGTAGGTCAAGATTTCTGGAAACCTCCAAAATCTGGGTTAGCTCGTTTGTCATTAAAAACGACCATATATATATATATATATAGCTTGTGCTCCCGTAGTTTTTTGAGTAAGTTGCACTTTCACTAGTCTTGATCAAGTTTGTCTCAAGATGCAGGTTTGAATGTATGGACCATAATTACATTGTAAAAGTGTAGAAAAAATAGAGGTAGCAAACAAGGTCTTTATAAACCTCTAGCTCGATTTTTATGTTGCTGCAATTTTCAGATGTTACATAGAGAAAAAAATTGTTTATTACTTGCAAAATCACCCTTATGTAGTTACTAATCACATACTCTGTTATTCACTCCCAGGAAAAATACCATGAAATGTTATAACATGTCAGGAAGGGCATATTTTAAAAAAATCCAAGTTTGGTCTTAGAATTTTAACAATTGTTGAATAGGTTGCATTTCTTTAAGCAGCTCAGACATTAAGAGTGCTCAAAGGTTTTTGTTTATTTCTATCTAATTTTCACAATGAATGATGATGATTTACCCCATCAAAATTGTGTACCTGTAACGCATACATAATCCATCTATATGTGTAGCCTGTTTAGTTTGCGGATTGTCTTGTCCATTGTAGCTTTATAGAACTGAAGGAGGCACTTGTATTTTGATAATTTGTCTGTGATACAGGCTGCTTTGCACTTGTTTAAAAAAAAAATCATATCTGTTTGTCTATACTTACTGATTATGCCATGTATTTTACTCTGCTCTTAATCATACCTTATTTCTGTTTGCATAACCAGGAAAAAATTTTAAAAATCTCAACAAGATATTTCTTACATCATCAGTTGGTATGACAGATAACATTACTCTCACTTTTATTACTTGTCCTGTGACTGCAGGGAAATCTGTACCATCTACTAGAATATTGGCTCATTATAAGTTTAAACCTTTACTAAGCCCAAGTCCCCTGAGCCTACAAGACCAGCTCACTCAAGCTCTCTTGTGTCAAATGTCAGATTTACACTGCATGATGAGGCTTGTGTTTGGGCACAGAAATGTAAAGGTAGCATACTCCTCATCATCATTGCCTTTCTCACCCTGGATCAGGATATAGGCCACGAACAAACACTTTCCACCTTTCCCTATCCTGGGATAGTCGCTTGATGTCAATCCATGTCTTCCCACTTTTCTGTACACCCACAAGAGTCCTTTCGGCTTTGTCCGCTGTCCTTCATTGTTCCTGCTGATGCAGAAGCTCCTCCGTCTCCCAAGATGGAAAAATAATAAGGCGTGTTTGTGTTTCTATAACTTTCTGTTTTTACTGGTTTGGGTAGTTGCCCCTCCGCAAACAGGCCCTTTTCGGGAGACCAGACCAATGCACCTTTCGTCACCTCTTACGACACGCAGTATCACGGCAGGTGTATTCTTTGCTCCCCCATGCATATAAGATTAAATGTTGCTGACTGTTAAAATGCTGTGTTGCACACACATTGCTGTTGTAGTATATGAGACTGACTTTTGTCTTAGGGGGCTCTAGTAGCTAAGTGAGCAGTGAGCTCCGACTCAAGTAATGTCAAGCAAGTGTCGGTGACATGGGATTTAGATGGGTGGTCACTGGAGTGTGTCCTTGGGCAGGACACGACAACCCTAGCTCAAAATACAGGGCGCTGCACAGTGGCGACTGACAATGGCATGGTTGTAAATTGTTCTGTTCTGGTGTAATATTCGTATTTATGATGTATGTATTTGCGCATGTATTTATGAATACTATGTATTCATATTTATGTATGTATGTATGTTTGCCATTGTAAACCAAATTGCCCTTCTGGGATCAACAAAAGTGTAAATTTTTATTATTATTATTATTATTATTGTTACAGGTGAGTTCCTCATCAATAGGAGTTGGCAGGGCCTTGAGCGTAAGCTAGGGGAAACACCAGTTGCTAAAGCTGTGGAAGGGACAAGTGGCATTGCTGCCAGCTACCAACACGAACCAGGGACGTAACTGTAGGGAAACCAGTCAGAGTCTGTGACAAGCTTCTTGTTGTCTAGAATTTTTTAAAAAGATTTTTTTAAACACCCCCCGGGGCGGTGCCACTGACTGACGTGTCTTTAGGCCATTCCCAAAGGGGGTCATTAACTTGTTCTTATGCATAGTAGAATTGTAAATGGGCTGATTTGACAATGTCATGCTCATAACTGTTCCTGAACCGCAGCTTTTTCTCTCCTAATCCTTGCTATCATCATTTTCCTCTACTTCTTTTGTATGTGACCCGCTATTTCCGGGGTGCCTTGATGATAGTCGAAGCAGACTTTGTGCTGTTGAAGCTAGAGAGGTGAGCAGAGTAAACCTGATTCCCTGAAAACACTTCTCTGTTGACATCCACCCCTTGGCGCTCAGATGACCTTATGCAGTTGTGAGCGCCATAAAACCTCTACTAAAACTGAAACAAAAGAATAAAAATCATTCTATACTGTCGGTGTGGATCTTAAAGCTTGTAACTGCCAAGTACATTCTTTTGCAGGCAAACAAAAAGAAATTGTTTTCTAGAGCTCAGTTTGCTTGGGTTTTTTTTTCCTAGCCTTTTTCTTTAAAAAAAAATATTTTCATTGGTTAAAGTGAATTTTCAAGACTATTGTGGTTAGCGTACATGGTACCATTTAGTTTTAGACTAAATGTTAAGATCCAATAATCATGCAGTTACTAAGTTTGCAATTTAAGTGACGATGTATTTATATATAAGTATAATGTATGTGCTGTGTTTGACAGTACATGTGAGTTTAGTTTTATAGAAGTTTTACGGCACTCGCAACTGCATAAGGTCATATGAGCGCCAGAAGAATAGAGGTGTTATAAGAGAGTAACAAACTTAAAAAAGAAGAAGGGGAGATAAGGACGATAGATTTTTGATAGGAAAGAAGAAGCAAACCACACCAGAGCACCCGCCAACCACCCACGTTCACATGATGAAAACTTGGGAACCCACTGGTTCAAGTGGCATATATAGTATAAAGTGACATAACTGTGGTATTGTGGTCAATGTGAACCTGGGATTCCTGGAAGGAATTTAAGCCTTGGTACTAATATGAATCTGTTGAATTTGTTTTTAAGAACTTTTAATAAGAGAAGGAAAATGTAATATTTTTCTTGTACGCTGTCAAATAATTACCAGCATTAAAAAGAAAATGTCTGAACATTTTGATATAAACCTAATCTTTGTTGTATTTTTTTATATTCCTGTGCTTGTGATCTCTTAAAAGATGTTAGCGAAATCTTGGTACTATTTCTCTATATGGGGGAATTAAAGTTTGTGTTAGATAAATGGATGCTGTGGTGAAAAGTATTCAGAGGAAATAGCAACGGGTTTGCCTTAGGCATGTACCTCAGTAACCAGCCAGTTGTAAGTCTTGTGGGGCGGACACATGCCATCATGCTACATTGCTATATATATTTATATTTGACAATGGAGAGGAGCTGATGAAAAGGGGATGTATGTGAAGATTTAGCGTGTTGCCGCCTTCTTCTAAGCTGCACACAAATTAGATCAAAGAGAGATTTTTAATATATATGTGCTGTTTACAGTAGGGATGGGCAGGTACCGGTACCCAGTACCGGAACTCCCGGTTCTACCGAAGGAGGTGTCAGTACTGGCACCAGACCTCCAGTACCAGCTCTTGGAAGGAGCCGACACCAACGTTTTTTTTAACGGGAAGTGTGCAGTGTGTGGGCCTAGACCTAGCAGCTGTGATGTCAGATGCACAAGCAGCAGGTGACCTTAATACATAACTTCAAATTTGGGTTGTCAATATGTTTGATTTTTATTTTGTTAAATGAAGAAAGAGAAAAGAGAAATCAATGTCTGGTCATCTTAAGTTTTTTGAAGTGGAGTACACTGTAAATATGCGAGGCATCGTGGTGAAATCAGGCGCTCATCAAAATAACGAAATCGGAGAAACAGGCATTTTCCGCCAGTTTGGAAATTTTTATTGAATTTTTAATGTTTAGCTTAATCTCTTTTATGTACATATAAAAGCACATTTTCATGTGAATTTTTACTGAAAAACATTGATTAAAGGCACAAAATATGTCATTTTTGAATTTTCAAAGACTCTTTGGGTTTTGGAGTTACCAGACTTTGGCGGCCATTTTCTTGCTAATTTCACCACTAAAATCAGGCAACATCACTTCCTTCAATTTCAAATATCTTGAGTTCTATTCAATATAAATGGATATTTATTTAATTGGAAGCAAGGCAAATGATTCAGCTTTTAGATGATACTAATAACTTCACATGCCCAAAAATTGATGAGCACCTGATTCCACTGTGTCGCGACACATATTATTGCTCATGGAACTAAAGGTATGCCATGCGCACCTGCCAGACGGACTTGTTTGTCAAAGAAACAGCAAATGAATATTGACTCTGAATAGATATAAGTCTCTGGTATTCTGAAGTATTCATAAACCATCTCTATGATCAAGTGCCTTAACATATATTTCATATGTACTAATGAATGTAAGATGTAAAATGTGGAGGAATGTTTGTTTGGATTTAGATGCGCACTGTGACATAGTGTCAGGAAAAGAAAAGTAAGATAAGTTTATGAAAAAGAGTTCTAAACCAATGAAATACAAATGAAATGTGTGTTTAACAGAATAACTCAAACAATGCTTGAAATGATGATGATTTTATTAAAAACAACTTTTTGGTCTGTCATAATGTGCTCCGGGAGTTGGCAGAATTTTTCACCCTTAGTATGGCAGTTTTTACTCAACGCATACTCCACACAAATTGGACTGGGACAGAAAGTGTCATGGCAGCAAGTGCACGTTAAGACTTTAGGCCCTGTCATCATTAAACCCTATCCGTACGCCTGGGGTCATTTTGTACCCCAGGGGTTGTTTTCTTCACATTTTAGAATATTTCTAGTGCGAAGATCTCTTTGAAACTTTCAGTGTTTCTCAAAAAATCGTTTTGACAGACTGCTGTGCAAAGCATACGGGTCGGATTAAAAAGTAAATTTCCTCTTTTGGAAAGTGGGGGCACAGAGTTCCCCGCGTCATATGGATACGATAGTAAAACATGACGTACAGATAGGGTTAAAACCAAGACCGTATCTTTGAATGCATTTATCAAGAGGAAGGAAAGACAAAGAGAAGTCATATTTTTATACGTAAAACACAGATATGCTTCTTTCAATACTGCTGGAAGACTTACAAATAAAATGATAGAAATACGTGTATTGTTCTTGAAGGATTTCTTTTTTTATTTGAGGGGGGGGGGGGTCGCTTCCCTCTAGAAAATTGTAATCATAGCACTTTGTCCTTAGTTTTGTCTGTGATGAGCTCATGCTCAATGTGTGTCCTCTAGTAGCAGGTCTGTTTTGAAAAATTGGTTTCAAATGACAGTAGTACAGCTTTGTTTTTCAGATAGGTAATACGTGTAGATCCTTTAGCAATAAGATTAAAGCTTAGGAATGCTTGAAAAAAAAAGTCATTTCAATATATGTATGAAACACAAGTGAAGCATAATAATACATTAAATGAGCGCACAATTCATAAAAAAAAAATAAGAGGTGCAAAGATGTTTAGATGAAAGAAAATAAAGAACATTTTTGGATTTGCATGAGGAACCAATTACAAAACAATCAATAAATGAGCAATCTTTTCAGCAGCCACAGAGAACACATTAGGTATAAAATAAGTGGCTTAATGGTAGATAAAATAAACTCGTGATATTTGTGTAAAAGGAATCAACCTTGTGTGTGCTAAAGAATATGATTGTCAGTGAGTTGAAAAATTAGGAAATGAACCTTGACGTGAACAACATTACGTGAGAAACATTTATTGTAATTGTAAACATAGCTACAGTGCTTAACATGTCTTCCGTAGTGGTTGACAGGAGGTTTTTTTTACATTAATTGATCTGCGAGGATTATGCTCTGCTGTTGTAGCTACATGTCGTTTATGACCAAGTGTGAACTTTCATCCTGCAAGCTGTTCAATCACAATTCATTTCGCTAGGATTAGTCAATTTAAGAGGGTGGATAAAACAGTAAATTTGTCGTTGAGTAGAATTGAACTCTTTTCATTTGCTATTCTTAGTTGTTGAATGTGTCCAGATTGAATAGCTTGTAGGTTAGTGAACAAGAACAAGTGAACAACCGTCATACATGTGTCTTGCATCACGAGACAGGACCCTGTGCTTTGACAAAGATTGTGAATAACTAGATAGTTCACTCCTCTCTTTGAGAAGTAAAAATAAGTGTCCTCAACACAAAATTGGGTGGCGCCCTCTTTGAAAAAGCGCGGACTTATGGATAAGAGTTAGAAATCTATCTTACTTGTGTGAAAAACACTAACAGTGAAACCAGAGCTAGGTCTCTAGTGAAACCACAGATTTCTACACATAGGTATAGAATTCTGTGAGTGAACTAACAAACTGCGCTGTTCCTATTCTTCTGGAGAAACGAAAGACTGCGGCGCCATCTGAACCAAAGCGCGGACTTCCGGGGACACTTTTTTGGCTGAGTGAACTATCTTGTTAAGTACGATCTTTGGCTTTGAGCAGGGACCTTACAGTACACAGATTCATTTTCAGAAGTTTGAAAACTCGTCTGGGTACTTGTCGTGCTTTGAGATTGATATCGACTCCTCTGTCCATTTGTCAAAGTTTGATGAATCCATTGGCCCTTTCAGGTTTGGAACCCATGGAGCTTTCTCAGCTTTCATAAGAATTTTTCTGGGGGGTGGAGATGAAAAAGGAGGTGGGGGAGAGGGAGCAGTATTGTTATTGCTCGCAAGAGAAATCCAAGAGAAATGTTTTTGTTGTTATGTAATGTAGTTAGGTTGGGTTTTTTTCTTTTTTGGTCTGCTGACAGGAAAATCCATCTCTCTCTCTCTGATGTCGCCTACCATAACTGTTAGCCCTATGCCCAAGGCATTTGGTTACACTACAGGTGTACCCTGCAGGTGCTTATGTTTTAGTAGAGGTTTTACGGCGCTTGCAACTGCATAAGGTCATATGAGCGTCAAGGGCTGGATGTCAACACAGAAGTCCTTACAGGGAATCAGGCTTACTCTGTTCACCTCTCTAGCTTCAACAGCATAAAGTCTGCTTCAATTATCAAGGCAGGCCGGAAATAGCGGGTCACAGGAGTTTGACAAATATGGAAAAGAAGTAGAGGAAAAATGACGATACATGTAGCAAGGATTAGGACAGGAAAGGCAGCAGTTCCCTGTTGCAGTTCAGGCACAGTTATGAGCATGATATTGATGATACTCCTTGACTCCTTCTTACAGCTGTCTTTCAGCCACACCCGCAATTTTCTGGTAGGAAAGATCTACTCCTAGCCTTCTCGGACAAGGGCGAAAAATCTCGGAGGTCCTGTGTGCAAGCTGTGCACGTTAAAGATCCCTTGGTGATCTTAAATCGATAAGGGTAGGCTTCGGCCGCCACCCGGGCAAAATTCAACATTTCCTACCAACTTAAAAAGTTTAATGTGTCCCGCCCGCTCATATGACCTTATGCAGTTGCGGACGCCCCGAAACACTTACCAAAAAACTAAAATTTAAAAAAGTGGAGAAACTGTACGTGGATGTGTCGTGAACGTTTACCACTTTAACTACTGTGAGTCACTTACCGCCTTTAGGATAACACAAGATTCAAAGGGCCTCTCAGAATAAAAGTTAACTTTTAGAACATGTACATGTAATAATAATAATAATAATAATAATAATAATAATAATAGTAATAATAAATTGCATCTATATAGCGCGTTTCCTCAAAGAAGTGCCCAATGCGCTGTACAAAGAACATATTTTATGCAGCGCACAGCTGGTAGTAATCCTCTTTCTCTCAACCCTCTCCCCCCCCCCTCTCTCTCTCTCTCTCTTCCTCACTCTCTCTCTCTCTCTCTCTCTCTCTCTCTCTCTCTCTCTCTCTCTCTCTCTCTCTAGTACACAATGAGTAAAGACAATCCCACAAAACTTACCTAGACATCCACGTCGTACACATTGATGACATCACTCAGTTATAAATTATGTAGGCCTACCCGATGAGCATGTGCCAAGCTCAGCGTTTTCATTTTCATTTAATTAAAGGAATACACAACAATGTTGAAAGTGGAAAAGAAAATGTCTTTCAACTGAGGAAACTATGTACGCACGATACATGGCGTATGAACACGATCATGCTCATACAAGCACATAATATTTCAGCGTACGTCTTTTTTTCCGCTTTTTTTGGTAGTGGTTCTGTGGGAAATGGATATTAAATTCGGAGGTCCCACCTCCCAACTGCAGTCGACAACGGATGAGTTCATGTCGTCCGGGGAGTGAAAAAAGATCAACTCATCCTTTTTTGTGAGTGTTTTACGGCACTCAGAACTGTATAAGGTCATATGAGCGCGCGGGACACTAAATTTTCTTCAGTTGGTTGGAAATTTTGAATTTTGCCAGGGTGGCGGCCGAAGCCTACTCTTATCGATTTTAGACTACCAAGGGATCTTTAACGTGCTCAACTTGCACACGAGCTCTCCAAGATTTTTTGCCCTTGTCCGAGAAGGTGAGGTGTAGATCTTTCCAACCAGAAGATTAGGAGTGAGGCTGAAAGACAGCAGTAAGATTAAGAAGGAGCGAAGGAGTCGTAGTAGAAAGGCTGCAGAAAGAGTCTGGAGCCCAGAGGAGGGGGCAAAGGAGGTGAGGGGGTGGGTTCGGAAAGAGGAGACGAAAACAGGCGACAGAACATTGCTAGAGAGCAGGAAAGGAGGTGAAAGGAGAAAATTTTAGAGAAAAATTTGTTTCGGTGGCTACCCGGATTCGAACCCGGGACCTTTGAATGAGAGGCCAACACCTTAACCTCTAGGCCATGAGAGCCCCCTTCACCTCATCCGAAGTTCAACTTGACTGTTAGTGTTAGGATCTGAAAAGAAAAAGAGGTGCTGGGACCCGAAAAAAAAATCAACTAAATTGAAGATCAACTCAAGCGAGTTCAATACAAGGGGAGTCGACTGCAATACATGTATTATATTATAGACTTGTAGCGTTAGAAGTATAAGGACGTCGTATCCGTATGGTCTTACAATGACCACTTTTTTCAATAATTGAAAATGCATCAATTTTATTACCACTACGCTGAGAGAGACACTGACGGGTTCTGTTTCTTCGCTTCCCTCTATTTGTACATGCTGTATTATACAGAGAGGGTACAGTGGCGGAGCGGTTAGTGAGCTCGTCTCCGAAGCGGAAAGTCCGGGTTCGATTGAGCCTCTGTTTGGACACGGATTTTTTTCGTCCCCTCCTGCTCACCCAGCAGTTATATGGGTACCTGACTTTGAGTTGGGGAAGTAAACGCGGCGTGAAAAGGAACTGACCACCCTACCACAACATGCCAAAGGCCCAGGATGTTGTCTCACTAACAAGGCTATCTCCAATGTCCGGATCGGATGCGAGTACAACTTTACATTACTTTGTATTATACTGTCTATCTATCTTGCCTTTTCCGCTGCAGTAAATGGCCATTACCCTACTACAATGTGCCGAAAGCCCAGGAAGTTGTCTTACTAGCAAGGAAATCCACAATGTCCGGATCGGATGCGGGAACAACTTTACTTTACTTTTAAATGACCATTATCTTGTCGATGTACTTTTTTGTTTCTGAAACAATCGTACACGGGTACTACTGAAGCAGCAAGTTCCAGAAACTAGAGGACGAACGTTGTAGGTACCGTACATGATGTAGGCCTACGTGGTTTGCCTACCTGAAGTCTGTGTCCTTGAACCACGGGTGGTTGATGATGTCCAGTGCCCCATTTCTGAGGTTACCGAAGCGCCTCGTCACGTCTACCTTTCAAAACAGGCCAACGTCAATTTAAATTAATACATTTCTTCATCACGCAAAATTAGCCTCGTAATGCGCAATGCCTGTTTAATAGTACCACCAAGATGTATTGATGCTTAGCGTAATTTCAGTACATCTGCTTACACTGTACAACATGTGGATCTACCATTGTTTTGATTCACTGGTTGAAATGTGTCCCATTAGTGTGGAAGGGTTGTAAAAAAGGAGAATGTGCAAACATAATAATTTGTTACATATTCTTACTAGTAATAAAACTATACTACGACATTTTATTCTGGTTTAGTTTAGTTTTAGTAAGTAGTTTTACCTCACTTGCAACACAATAAGGTTATATAAGTGCCGAAGATTAGAGGTGTTACAAGAGAGAAACAAATACAAAAAGAAGGAGGGGAGAGAAGGACGATAGATGTTTCATAGGAAAGAAGAAGCAAACCACACCAGAGCACACACCAACCACCCAGAGGTAGAAAGTGTGTACAATTTGCATTTTTATAGATTGAAAAAAAATCATGGGGGTGGCACAAAAGATCGAGAGGGCAACACTGAAAGATCATACTTTACTTCATCTACCCAAGAAACCTTGCTCCCCATTCCTTCCTGAGGATACCTGAATAATGTTGGTCAGCAAGTCTCGCAGCGTCGGCTTGAAGAAAGATGGGAATGTTAGGCGGCATTCCACTATCAACTCGTACAGTTTCAATGGAACTTTGTGGTCAAACGGGACGAACCCTGATGAAACGAACAAGAGAAAACTGGATGACGTAGGCTTCCGGAGGCATTGCCGCGCTTGCCGGTCGCTGAAGAGCAGTATGTTTTATTCATGTAGGCCTACATGTTTTACCAAGATACCCTGTTTTGAGGGAGTTCAAGGTTGGAATCCGGAAAGGTCATTATCTTCTTTGGTTTTTTTGGGGTTTTTTTTTTATGTACAGGCCCTATTTTCTGTTTCTTTGATAAAGGTGGAACACTGTTAGTCCAGTCGTTTAGACTAGAGTAGGGTAAAAATTGACGATGTTAGTTCAGTCGTTAGAACTAGAGTAAGGTACAAATTGAAAGAGGGAGGGAAAGAAATCAAAGGAAATTTGGCACACATGAGCGTTGATGCTCGTCTGTGTTGCTAAGACTCAAATATAATTATTTATGAGCTCAGCTAGAACACAATATTTCTTTTAACTTCCCAACATCCTCTAAAACGTAAATGACAACATACAAACAAACAAAGTATTTTGCTTAAGAGGGGAGCAGTAGCGAAACTTTCTTATTCTCCCCCCCCCCCCTTTTTTTGGGGGGGGGGGGAGGGCGGGAGGTGTCAAATTACTAATAGGACGGGAATTGAAAAAAACAACAACCGAGAACAAAACAAAAACAACAATAACAGCAAAACTACAAATAGTGGAAGATGATGAACCCTAACCCTACTAGTACTGGCACTACTACCAAAGATCGTACAAAACAAGATAGTTCACTCAGCCAAAAAAGTGTCCCCTGAAGTCCGCGCATTTGGTTCAGATGGCGCTGCAGTCTTTTAGTTAGTTATAGTAAGAGTTTTTACGGCACTTGCAACACAATAAGGTCATATAAGTGCCGAAGATTAGAGGCGTTACAAGAGAGTAACAAACACAAAAAAGAAGGAGGAGAGATAAGGAGGATAGATGTATGATAGGAAAGAAGATGCAAACCACACCAGAGCACCCGCCAACCACCCGCCTGCAGTCTTTGTTTTGAAGTTCTCTTTCATTTCTCCAGAAGACGAAGGAAAAGCACAGTTTGTTAGTTTCACTTTTTTTTCACACAAGTAGGGTAGCTCTGTTCGCAAAGTCCGCACTTTTTTCGAAGAGGGCGCCACCGAATTTTGAGGACATTTTTTTAGATTGGCTCAAAAAGATGAGTGAACTATCTTATTATGTACGATCTTTGCAATTACTCGCCTGCGTTGAGTTCGTAGATAAGGATGCCCAGCCCCCAGTAGTCCACTGACTTGCCGTAGCTACGGTTGAGGATCATCTCAGGGGCCAGGTATTGGGGAGTTCCGCACAAAGTCCAAGTGTGACCTTGAACACGCTTGGCAAAGCCAAAGTCCGTCACCTGGTGATGGTGTAGTGGTGGTGGTGGTGGTGTAGTGGTAATGGTGGAGGTGGTGGTGGTATAGTGGAAGTGGTAGTGGTGGTAGTAGTGGTGGTGGTAGTGGTGATGGTGTAGTGGTGGTAGTTGTTTAGTGGAAGTGGTGGTGGTAGTAGTGGTGGTGGTAGTAGTGATGGTAGTGGTGGTTGTGGTAGTGATAATGGTGGTAGATCTAGTGATAGCGCACACATGATTTAATATTAATGGCGGATTTTCTTTCTTTGTTTTTTAGGTAAGTGTTTTACGGCGCTCGCAACTGCATAAGGTCATATTATGAGCGCAAGGGGCACATTAAACTTTTTCCGTTGGTAGGAAATTTTAAGTATTGCCTGGGTTGCGGCCGAAGCTTACTCTTATTGATTTTAGACCACCAAGTGATCTTTAACGTGCGCAAATTGCACTCTGGCCCTCCGAGATTTTTTCGCCCTTGTCCGAGAAGGCTAGGTGTAGATCTTTCCTACCGGAAGATCAGGGGTGTGGCTGAAAGACAGCAGTGAGAAGCAGGCAAGAAGTAGCAGTAGAAAGGCTACAGAAAGAACCTGGAACCCAAAGGAGGGGTCAAAGGAGGTGAGGGGGTG